TGTGTGTGTGTGTGTGTTGCTGTGGCATGCATGTGGAGATCAGATGACAACTTTCTGGAGTCAGTTGTCCTCTTCCACCATGTGGGGCCCAGGGATTAGATTCAGGCCTTCAGGCTTGACATCAAGCACTTTTCCCCACTGAACCATCTCACCAACCTAGCCCTTGGAAACACATTTTAAAGATACAGACACACAGAGAGGTGATGTGACTTACTCAAAATGGTCTTGTATGATTCTGAAACCTCGTGCCACACCAGTGAGTTTTCATGAGCTCAAAATAGACCTGGTAATTGATAGGGCATTGGAAGTTGTTCAACTCACTTAGCCAGGGCTGCTCCCTGTGCAGCTAGAAGACATAATGAGCTTGTTCACAGTATTTCACTCGAATCAAGACTAGCTTGGCTTTAAAGAGAGGGAAAAGATCCCACAAAGCTCTTGTGAAAAGAAACCTCTCTTAGACTTCTAACAACCTTGTTTTTGTAGTTCACCCCTGTCTCCACTTCTACCACCAACCCCACATTGAACTGTCTTAGACAGTCCCAAGGGAACATTACCAGGTCTTGTGGAAATAATCCAGATGTTATTTAATCAGTAACTGAAAAGGGCTGTACTTGTGACAGTGAGACCATTGCTGTGTTTTATCTGAGGTGACTGCCAATCATCTTAAGTAGTAATTATTTTTATTTCCTTAGGATGTTGGGCATGGAGCCCAGAGACTTACATGGGCTAGGTGAGTACTCCATCACTGAGTTACATCCCCAACCCTTAGTAATTCTTTTAAAAATATGACAGTAATAGGTTGGGGGTGCAGCTAGCAGTACAGAGCTTGCCTAGTATGCACAAAGTCCTGGTTCAATCCTCGGTGTTTCCAGAAAACCATTCAATTAATGAATGTAACAATAACAGTCAGGAATTCTAGTTCCGGGTGAACAGATTTTTATGCTGTCTGCACTGAGTACAAGTCTGTAATCTGACTTATTTGAAGACTCTGGACAAGCAGAGTAGGAGGAAGATTAGGAAAGATTGGAGTTCAAAGAATTCACCACTGGTGAGTCTACTCTTTTCTTCTGTGCAGCGTTCCCCAGCTTGGATTCTCTACCCTCTCTCTCTCTCTCTCTCTCTCTCTCTCTCTGTGTGTGTGTGTGTCCTGGAACTCTTTCTGTAGACCAGGCTGGCCTTGAACTCACAGAGATCTGCTTGCCTCTGCCTCCTGAGTGCTGGGATTTAAGGTTTGCACCAAGTAAAAAGAGGTCTCTTAATGCTGTGAGGGACTGCAAAAGTTCTCCAGTCACTTCTCTCTTATTTTTGCTTTCTCACTCCCTGGCACCCCAGATCCCATATAGTCCTGTGCAGCAGTGGCAAGGGCAGCACCCTTATCCCTGAGGATAGAAAAGGAAAACACAAAAGAAATATTTCCTCTCCAATTGGAACTGCCATGACCCAACACATTCCCTTGGCATTTTTATCTCATTTTGGTCTCATGCATAGTTAAAATGTGAGCAGTTTCATGATGGCATAGCAGACTTTTTATGGTCCCTGCTTTCTGGCAGAAGCACCCAAACAGAAAAGTCCTGAAAGGAAAGTGTCAGGACTCCTACTGAAAGATCGTGGAGCCTTACAGGTACCTTCAAGCAGAATATGCATGGATCTGACTCAAAATAACAGAGATTTTTAAAAATAATGCCTATTAATACTAATATTAAAATTTAATACTATGGCAGATTCAGTGTGATATTGCCATGCATGCGTACAGTATGTGCTTATCAAATTCAATGTCCATTCTTCACCTTTACGCCTTCCTGTACCCCTCTAGTCCTTAGCAATATTTCAAGTCAACTTTTTGAGTTTTCACATATGAAAGAATATGTGGTACTTGGCCTTTCATTATCTAGCAAGAGATTGGACGGGAAAGAGCACCACAAACTCTCACACTGGCCACGGGATGGCATCAGCCTGGTGAGCTTTGAAGAGCAGTGGACCCAGAAACTGCAGCCCGCTTGCAGGTCAGAACCCACCTACTTTCCCAATTGCTTCCCAAAACGAAGACTAAGATTACAAGCACTCTTGTTAAAGCTTAAATAGGAAATAATATTATTTAAAATGTCCAGGATACTTTTCAAAATTCCTGGATACGTGGAGATTCTTAACTTACAAAGGAAAAAATTCAAAGATAACAATACAGTGATAGCACAAGTCTTGGAAATTTGACACAAATTAAGTTATTGCAAATCCTTTAAAATTTATTTTAACTAATATATAAGAGCATTGAAGGTAAACTATTATCAGAAGAATATGATGCTTTAATGTTTATATTGTGAAATGCAATGGTGATTGTTTTATTTTTTCTATTTTTATTTAAATTAGAAACAAACTTGTATTACATATCAATCCCAGTGCCCTTTTCCTCCCCTCCTCCCCTGACCCCACTAACCCCCTAACCTATACTCTTTCTGCTTCCCAGGGAGGGTGAGACCTTTCATGAGGGAATCTTCAAAGTCTGCCATATCATTTGGAGCAGGGCCTAGGTCCTTCCCCGCGTGTCTAGGCAGAGAGAGTATCCCTCTATGTGGACTAGGTTCCCAAAGTCCATTCATATGTTAGGGATAGTGATCTACTACCAGAGGCCCCATAGATTGCTGAGGCCTCCTGACTGACACCCATGTTCAGGGTGTCTGGAACAGTCCTGTGCTGCTTTCCCAGCTATCAGCCTGGGGACCATGAGCTCCCCTCTTGTTCAGGTCAGTTGTTTCTGTGGGTTTCACCAGCCTGGTCTTGACCCCTTTGTTCATCACTCCTCCCTCTCTGCAACTGGATTCCAGAGTTCAGCTCAGTGTAGCTATGTGTGTCTGCTTCTGCTTCCATCAGCTACTGGATGAAGGCTCTAGGATGGCATATAATATTGTCATCAATCTCATTATCGGGGAAGGGCATTTAAGGTAGCCTCTCCACTATTGATTAAATTATTAGTTGCTGTCATCCTTGTAGATCTCTGGACATTTCCCTAGTGCCAGATTTCTCTTTAGACCTATAATGGTTCCCTCTATTATGGTATCTCTTTTCTTGCTCTTCTCTATTCTTCCCCTCACTCGATCTTCCTGCTCACTCATGTCCTCCTCTCCAATCCTCTTCTCCCCTTCTCTTTCTCCTAACTCCCCCTCCCCTCCCCCATGCTGTCAATTAGCTCGGGAGATCTTGTCCTTTTCCCCTTCTCCGGGGGACCATGTATGTCTCTCTTAGGGTC